GAGAGAGAGAGAGAGAGAGAGAGAGAGAGAGAGAGAGATTAAATGATTGTTACGCTCAGGTATGGGATGTTACGGGGCGTTGAGACTGACGGTGCGTTTTTGCACCGAACGGTTGTATAATTTTTTAATTAATACACATTTAATTAATTTTCTTTTAATGTAATCTAACAATAAAGAGGTTTATTTTTCGAAATAATATATACAGCTAAACATATAACTACATCAAACATAATAACAATAAACTATATATTAATTAATTATTATAATTAATTCGATGTGAAAGTTATTTTTAAATTATAAATTGCAACCAAAAGTGCAATCAATGAAAAGAAAACCCTTTAAAACAAATGCTAAATATAAATATGGATTAAAATTAGAAATTTTAAAAATACTTTCATATTTTCACAAAATGTGTTATTTTTTAACGTTTCAATCATAATATGCAATATTGTGTACATGTGTGGGAATTTGTGAGTTTAGTGACCGACCCTGGTGATTTTTACCACTCCAATGTCACGTGTATTTGATACTGTGATTTGACGTGTATAACAAATATAAATATACTACACATGCTAAATATACAACACAAAAATTCGGGCCATTATCACAGTATGACTGGTATTACACATATTATACAATAATAAATATAATATATATTTAAGTTGGTTGGGTTATACCGCACAATGACCCAGTTTATCATTCCTCCCCCATCTCTAATAGTGTATTACTAGTGTATTATTTTACTACACGGTGATTATATAAACCAAAAGTATTTTTACACTATTCGTTTTACTTTTTTTTTGTTTTGTTGTTATATTATTATTATTATTGCTCATAAAAACCGCACACAAACATAATTAGATGAAAGCGTTATAACTATTTCACTGACAAAAAAAAATCACACAATAATAATAGGTATTAGAGTTTAGTCTTATTTTCAATGTAAGATTGTTTTCTAGTTATTATGTTTGTGGCAGTCATTGGACTCATGCTATGAAACAATTGATACATTGATTTTTTTACATTTTCTTTATATCTATGGATTATCTATAAAAAGATTTTAAAGTTTTTGTAATTCTTGCTATAAATAATAGACACTTTCATATAATGTTGTTTTTTAAAAGTGTAATTGATTTTTCACTATCAATAAAATAGTGTTTTTGTGTGTGTCTGCATATATTGGGTGCGAGAAAGTTATAAATAGTTTTTATTTAGATTAATTTTTATTATGAAGTTACGTTGATTTAACATAACTGTATAACTTATAATTTATATAACATAACTGTATAAGTTAGTACATTAAGTTTCTCATTCAAATAATTAGTTAGTGTAAATATCACATGTAAACAGTTGTCAATAACTTATTGATCTTGAAAAATATTGGTACAAATAAAAGTTTATTAGTAAATTAATTAATAATTTAAAATTTAAATTTTAACAAATTAAAACAAATCTGAAGCTTATTAAAAAATTAACTTTATCATAATTATACTATTTTATACTACACATAATCTTAACTAAATAATAAAGCAACAAGTTTAAAATTAATAACATTGTTCAAAACTTTACCCTATAAAATTAAACATTAAATTTATTCAAAGTAAAATGCCAGACAACTACTAACACCAATTATTTAATCACCAAAGATTATCACTAGTGATAAGTTATCAAGCTCAATCATGACAACCACTAACCCACCACTGCCTGACAATATACTGAAAATTGAACATAATAGAAATTTATGAACAAAACAATATATTGCCGACAACTCTATAGGCAGTGAATTTACGATTGAGTTAACAATTATATGAATTACTAAAACTCTTCCCAACAAATCAATTACAAAACAATACAATTGTCTTATTTTTTATTAACATTTTTATTATAAAAATGTCATTTTGTGTGAGACTCTGGACTCTGACAGCGACCGTAACCCATAGTCGCGGTCGTGCGGACACAGCGGTTACACTTCCGTTACCGTTGTTTTTTCGCCACTTTGTTTCCCATAAGAGAGAGAGAGAGAGAGAGAGAGAGAGAGAGAGAGAGATCACTTTATAACTATAAAATTTGTTTTCTATGGGATTTAGTTATGGAATTTTTGTTGTTTAAAACTTTAAAAAGTTTAACTTTTCTCATAAAATCGTTTGAAACTATACTTCAATTTTCTATAGTATTGTTGTCGTGTCTGCGAGAAGTGATCGCCAATCAAATCCATTACTCGGACACCCAATTGGAGACAGATTATGATCTAGATGTCAGCGACTTTTTGGTCCGTATTATATCATTATCAACTAAAGCACACTATATTTAAAGCACACTTTAGTTATATTTACTTGAACATTAACACTAGAACATTTAGTAAAAATTACTAAATTTATATTCAAATATATATTATTTAATATAATTCTATACATAAACACGTATAACATTTTGGTGACTACGGGTGCGGCGGGCAATGGGGTTACAGGTGTGGTCAACGATCGCCACATCACTGGCCAAGTGGTCGGACACAAAGAAAGCGAAGTGGCGTAAACTGAATCAGGAGAGGGCGGCCGCGAAGAACCGGACCACTCATCGACGGCATCGGCGGCGTCGCGACGAAGAGATGGTTTGCTACAAGAGTTTCGGCTGTTTCCGAGACGAGGGACCCTTCGACTACTTGGACACTCTGCCGGCCTCTCCCGAGTCCATTGCCACCACATTCACGCTCTACACCCGCAAGAACTCAGTGGACGGCGAGAAACTGGACTACGAAAACAGCACTACTGTACTCAAGAGTAACTTTAACTCTTCAAATCCGATTAAGATTATTATACACGGCTTTGGCTCCAGTGGTCGGCGCCCATGGGTTTTGCAAATGACCGAAGCGTTTCTTTTTATGGTATGCTTACCATTCATGTCCCGCTGTTTGGGGTACAAGTATTTTATCGACATTTTGTTATAAATGTATTGTTTTCTAATTATCTGTATTAGGAGGATATGAATTTAATCGTGGTCGATTGGGAGAATGGCGCACAGTTACCTAATTATGTGCAGGTATTATACGCCTACTGTCCTCCACTCATCACTTTCCTCTTACCCTAACATTTATTACAAACCTTTTACCCGATTGTTGTTTACATTTGTTTTCCCGTCCGATAGGCTGCGGCCAACACTCAGCTGATTGGCAAACAGATAGCACTACTTATACGTATGATTAACTTCAACAAAGGTCTGGCGCCCGAAGACTATCATCTCATAGGGTTCTCGTTGGGCGCACACGTGGCCGGATTTACCGGCATGGAAATTAGCAATATTAGCCGCATCACTGGTC